GGAGGATACTGATTGGCGCTCAAGAATGGCGTAGTTAATGTTATGATTTGCCAGCATTCTCAGCTGCTGATTCTCAGGCTGATTCTACTTGGTTGGTAGAAAATCTACTTATCCAGGAACAAGCGTAGGGTAACTTTTCCTTTTTTTCTCAGCTATGTGAAAAGGGAGAAAACTCGCTACACTTTATAGGAAATGAACTACTCTTCTACCGACGGATATCCTAAAGGCTATCCTCTGGTACCTCGGCCTTACGCTAACTCAAAACCAAACTAAAATGGGTTGATCGGAGCTATTCTCTAGAATTTTTGACCCAAATTGAGCGAAGGCGGCCACTTCGCGATATTGTGCCAATTCCAGTGCTCGAAACAGCCAATTCGCTCGTATAGCTAACGCAACCTATAGAGTTTGTAGCTTTCTACTTGGTAGGGACAGGGGTTCGTGGTAGACTTACTTGTCTATGCAGGCGTGAAACAATCTTCCTTTCCTCTGGACTTTGAGGCGGCCGGGCTGTGTTTCCCCAGCGGCCACCCAGTGGCGGCAGATTTGACCACAAGCAGCTTAGACCCAGTTGCTATGGGGAACAAAGGCAGAAATACAATAGATTCCTCCATTTAAGTGGTTCTCGCATCTTCACGGAGAATTCAATTTCACCGGGGAGCACAACGAACTTCGAAATAAGAGACTGAACTTACTGGTTGTTCATTCTGCGGAGCCCACCCAAAGGTTCAGGCCAACTTGCTTATTATGGGAATAGTTGATTCATTGTAAGGTTCAATCAGGCTGCATCTCAATATGCGCTTAACGGCTGTCCAGTGCAATGAAGTGGGAGCATGTAGATATTGGCAGCTTTTAGTAGTTTAGTCACCAATCAAAAAAGTAGCTAGGCTGAAGCCGAAGCACATTCCCTAGCGTACTAGCGTATGAGAGAAGCACATTCCCGTGGTCCGTTTCATCCTCTTTCGGCAAAGGAAGTTGGACTTTAGTTAGCTAAAAAAACAGTACCAGCAGCCTGTCTGTGCCCTTTGAGTCTATAGCCGCCAAATCTAGGCTTATCCGCCTGGGGCCACTGAAGGTAGACTGGGAGCTTTCTAAAGGCAAGAGAAAAGCTCCGATGGAGCCCTTGGAGCTACAGGGACACATTTCATATTGTAGTCCTGAACAGTACCACTCCCTTGTTTTAGGCTAACGAATTGTTGTCGAAGCGCTTCCCGAGACATCACTTTTCTTGATCGTACTAGTACTAAATTAGAGTTGATTGAATAAGGAAAGCTGACACGCTTCTCGGTTGTGTAGTCAGTTCTCGGTGGTGGTGCCTTCTTCTTTTTCTTAGAATAGAGACACATACATATTGACTTGTTGACTTGATTTGAGAATATACTTCATTTACTTTCTTTCATCGTTGACAGAAACTGAACTCAAGACAGACCTTCCAGCTTGATCTTATTGATGGATCATTCACTAGAACTACAGTGATCTGATACCTTCTTCCCTTGGTCTGGGTAGGTAGGTTATGTAGGCTACAATCCATGTTTCATCGTCCAATCTTCTCGATCGAACATATTGACATCAATACTCCTTTCCATGGCCATTCACAGCCCGCGAAGATCAACCACTCATGCCCAAATCCGCATCACAGACTAGGTATAGTTTTTTTTTATCATCATAACAATAATAAATTCAGTTGGATGCTCGAGTAAGATGATAGAGCTTCAGAATGCTATTGAGGCTATAGTAAGACAAGTTAAGGTTCCCACAGCAATGATGGCTTTAAAATATACCTCCCAGCCCTTCATCTCTAGGACGTCGGACTGTTCAAGCAGTACTATGCACCCCCACTTTGGTATACCCTCCTAAGAGGAGTACTTGATAGCAGGTGGTGGGTTTTTGGGGATAGTATGACTCGGTCCCCTGGACCGGTGAGTGCGAGCTGCTTTCAAGAAAAGCTGGAAAAGAGCCAAAGCTAGATGGAAGTCGCCACTGGACGGAGCCCTCCTGCTGGGTGGGCGCTTCCTTCGTCTATCGTATGTCTCGCTTGGAATGTGCAGAATGGAGTGCGCGTCGTTCCTCTTCCCCCTCTGGCTCGCCGGCCTCCCCTTCCCCCACTCCCACGGCGACCTCCTCTTCCCCCTCCGGATCGCCGGCCTCCCCTTCTCCCTCTTCCACGGGAAGTTGCCGCCGCCGCCGCCGTACGCGGTGGGGAAGTGAGCGGCCGCCGGTGTAGCTCGTGGAAGGCGAGGGCACCGCTGACGCATGCGGTGGGGAAGAGCATCACCGCCGCTGCTCGCGGTGGGGGAGGTCGCCGCCGCCGTACGCGGTGGGGAAGAGCGTCGCCGCCGCTGCTGTCGGCGAGAAGAGAAGCAAGGAGACAAGAAGAGAAAGAAGAAAGAAAACAAAGAGAGATGTGGGGCCCACATCATTCTCTCACTTAAATGTGGGCCCCACATACTTTTTTTTATTTCTTTTGCTGACTAGGATGCCACGTCAGCGAAACCACCTATATATACTGCGATAGAACCTTGAGTGCACGGTTTGTGTGAGTTTTGAAATACACATTTCTGGTTTGTGGTTAAGGGACCTCACAAAATCTCGATGTTAAGTCAAGGGACCTCCGGTGAACTTATTCCTTGGTCCCTCAGTCGCGCATGAATCAGATCGATGGCATATGTTCTAAGCAGGCCGGCCCAGCCTAACCATCATAACACATCCTGCGTCCAAAAGGCGCTACCGCGCTAGCTACCTGTACGTTCATCCCACCTCTTGTCCTCATCTCGAATCTCAACCAGAGCAAAAGGTGCTCCTCATAGCACCGAGCGCAATGCGAACCGAAATCCACACGAAATTCTCTCCCCTCCGTGTTCTGGGGATTGGGAGGCCGAGCTGGGCCTGGACTTTACACATACCGTGCGCGTGCGCGCACGTACGTATCACACACCATCCGCCGCGCGCGGTCGCCCACCCTTGCACGCCTAGCTCACGTTGCCGTAACACCCCATACACACCACCCCCGGTCTTAGCGGCGTTGGCCGTTTGCACGCCATCCATCCGATCATCCGCCACATCAGTGCGGCGGCACGCACCCTCCCTCCCCGCATGCGGCGACAGCGAGGGGCTTGGATTCCGTTGGGCGTTCGGCCGTTTGGGCCACCAAGCGCAGCAGGCCACGCAAATATACTCTAACATAGCCTCAGGGGGCCGGTATATATAGGAGTACACGAGGAGGAGATAAAGAAGGATTACAGATATGAAAGGAGTTTACACAAATCAATCTTATCCTAATATGACTCTAACTATCATATACTCTAACAGATCGATCGATGGGTGGAGACGGGGAAAGGTTCATGGCGCTGCGCTGTCTTCGCATCGGCGATTCGGTGCGGCGTTCGTTTGCTACATCCTACTCTACTAAAATTCAAGGTTCCTAAGTTAGGTCGAATAATAATGAGGGAGTGCGCGAACTGCGAGTGCTGCTCCGAATCTAAGAGCTGTGTTGCGAAAGGTATACGTGAAAAACATGGACATCGATTGTACTACTATTGTAAAATGGAAAGGAGATTCCCGGGGGTTCCCTTTTGACATTTCAGCCGAGCGACGAGCCTATGTAAGCCTGACAAGGAAATTGTAGTGTTTTCTCCGGTGCGTGCAATGCAAAGTGGGGTTCAAAAGCGAGGAAACAAACCCCATAAAACCAGCAAAGATGGTGCCTGACATCGACGTCTCAGTGCCAGTACGCCTAGTTGCCGTCGAATCTCCTTTCCTTCTTGTCTCTCTTGTCAAAAATCCAATCTAGACCATATTTAGTTCGTGTGCTAATCTTTTTTAAGTATACGGACACATAGTTGAAGTATTAAACGTAGACTAATAACAAAACAAATTACAGATTCCGCCTGTAAACTGCGAGACGAATTTATTAAGGCTAATTAATCCGTCATTAGCAAATGTTTACTGCAGCATCATATTGTCAAATCATGACGTAATTAGGCTCAAAAGATTCATCTCGCAATTTACATGCAAACTGTGCAATTGGGTTTTTTCATCCACATTTTATGCTTCATGCATGTGTCCAAACATTTGATATGACGGAATTTTTTTTGGAAGTTTGAAGGGAGCTAAACACTACCCTAGTATTGGATAGGACGTTTTATAGTATAACGAATATAGTCTCGATCGCACTCCAAAATCCGCATGCAATTTTAACTTTTCACTTTAACAACCATACTAAATATATGTTCCTAAGTCATGTTTAGATTATAGCCAAAATAACAAATTTTGGCAAGATGATAATATTGCTAAAATTTTGGCAGGATTTGTTATATATTTACTAAATTTGACAACAAACTAAACATGGATCATTTTTTTGCAAGTTGCTAAAAAATGGTATAGTTAAAAATGGCATCAAAATGAACCGGCCCTCTAATGATTTAAACACCAATGTCAAAAAGAAATTACAGTGGAAAAAACCTCAAAATCAATTTAAAAAATAACTTTTAAGATTTAAATTTCGGCAAGAACATATACGTTGTAGTTGTAGAGCAAAAGAGGTGACCCTCGATCGCACTCCAAAATTCGCAAGCGATTTCAACTCTGCACTTTAGCAGCCATACTAATTACGACGCGCCACATTCCCTCCAATCCACTGGTAGCACACGCACGTCCATTCTTCGTAGGCCCAAGATGCCGAGTTTTTTTTGCCTAGGCTGTAGCCGCCGATGGCAACGTGTTGGTGGCACTGGTCCACGCGACACAACACAAAGGCCTTTTTTGTGAGGGAGAAGCTAGCTGCTCAAAGCCCCCGGCGTGACGGCGTCAATCGAAGAAGCGAAAACGACCGAGGAGCGGACTCGGCAAAGTCAACCGACCGATCGCCCGCCCGCCACCGCGCTTTCCAGCGCACGCTGCCTCCCCCCGCTGCACACGGCGAGGGGGCGGATCGGTGTGGCCCAAGCAGGCAAAGCACCCAAACCAAACCCAACCCAACCCACCGAGCGAGCCATCCCCTCCACTACGGCCATTCTCTCTTCGCGAACGCGCACGCGACACGACTACACGCGGAGCAATACAAAAAGTCGCCCTACACCACCAGCGCCAGCCGAGCAGCGGCAGGTGGTGGTGGTGGTGGTGGTGTTGTTGCTGCTGCTACTACTCTTCTTCCCCCTTCCTCGTGTTCCTCCTCTTCGCCTCGTCTCTCTGCCCTGCCTCGTGCGCGTCCAGATCCGGGAGGGATGGGGGCGGGGGCGCTGGGGGTGGTGGCGATGGTGGCGGCGGCGGTGGTGGTGGCGATGGCGGGGGCGAACTCCGAGGGCGACGCGCTGTCGGCGCTGCGGCGGAGCCTCAGGGACCCCGGCGGGGTGCTGCAGAGCTGGGACCCCACGCTCGTCAACCCCTGCACCTGGTTCCACGTCACCTGCGACCGCGACAACCGCGTCACGCGCCTGTGAGCGACCCTCTCCCTCCCTCCCTCTCCTCGCGCTGCGCTGTACTGTACGCGTAGGCTCGAGTTGGGTACTTTTGGGTGTTTGGGGGAACTGGATCGCGAGGCAAGCCGTGTTTGGATGAGCAGTCGATTCCGTTGCGGCCGCGTTGATCTAGAAGACTAGTAGAGCTGTAGTTCGTTGATGAGAGGAGAAACCGATCCACGAGGCAGCCTTTTTAGAGTTTTACTAGGATGTACTAGATTTTGTAAGAATTTTGCTATGGAACTTGTTGAGATTGTGTGGCTATGCCGTGATATGGCTTTACAGTTTTACTCAAAAGGCAAGTGCGCTTTTTTTATTATTGGACCGAGGAAAAATTGGAATGGTCCTGAGCAAATTGAAACATGACAAGAATCAGATAGATGTATCTCTTTTAATGAGAGTGTTATTAGGTTTCTTGGTTGGTTGGGCGGTTGGGGTGTTATGGTTGAAGAATTTAGATGTGAGAGGAATGATAAGGACCAAAGGCTAGAGAAAATTTTAGCTTCAATTGCTTACCCATTTGAACTTTCACAGCTTTCATTTCTTCTGTCTGTCATTTGTGTTCCAAAGTCCAAACCTCCAAAACACTTACTGTGCGTCAGTTCATGAAGTAAAAAAACAATCCACTTTACTATTAATCTTTTTCAGTGTGGTCAAAATCTATGGCCAGTTCCTTGTATTGTATATGAAGTTGAATTATTTCTCAAGAACATCTTCTTCTAATTGTTTTCTTGGAATACATCCCTCTTCTAACAGGGATCTTGGGAATTTGAACTTATCTGGTCATCTGGTGCCTGAGCTTGGAAAGTTGGATCATCTGCAATATCTGTAAGCTTTTCTTGCCCATGTGGTTTGATTCTTTGCTAGTTCTTCTCAATTATTTTGTTTTACTTCTAATATGACATAGTTTAGTGATTGAGGTAGATAAGATACCATCTCATGTCCTTCCCACCGCACTCCTAAAACATGATATTGTGACATGGTTTTATACTTTTATGCATATTCTATGGTTGAACATTTATGTAAGATCCATTTTCTTTTATCTCCAAGATATCTGTCAAGTTCTATTCTCATACAGTTTGTGATGTCTGAGAATGATGTATTGAAGTTTTGTTTAGTTTAATGTATGATTGTTAGTTATTCGCATAATTTATATTGATGCACTTTGGTAGTATTAACCATCAGCATTGGAACAGGGAGCTATACAAGAATAATATTCAAGGAACGATCCCATCGGAACTTGGTAATTTGAAGAATCTTATAAGCTTGGACCTGTACAAGAACAACATTTCTGGGACTATACCTCCAACACTTGGGAAATTAACGTCCCTTGTATTCTTGTAAGTTTGTGTTATTCAAATGATCTCATTGTAAAATAGTTCTAAGTTCTCACATGTTAGCTACTGATTTCATGCCGTATATGCACATTCTGCATACTTCCTCCATTTCAAACTACAATGCCTGTGTTTTTACATTCTTACTTCAAAATAAATACGTGTATATCATATAGGTTTATTGATCCATACTCTCTTTTATCTTTGCTGCCTCTTCATCATTTGCGAGCAAACACCTACACAAACTATTTCTATCATGGCTATTTTCTGATTTAACTTCGTTAGTCCCTGTTCATGCTTTATAAGAAATAAGCGGGAATGCATATTGATGTCTTTAAAACTTTACCTTCAGCTTGTTTGAATTTTCTGGTGGTTTGTTGACTTATGCATTCTATCTTTCTAACACATTATTATGCTTTGAAGGCGGCTCAATGGCAATCGCTTGACTGGGCCAATCCCAAGGGAACTGGCCGGAATATCTAGTCTTAAAGTTGTGTAAGTACAATTCCTGGTGCTGAGTGCTTGGCTGCAAACAATCTTGAATGTGATAAATTTTACCCCCTTGTTCTTTCAGTGATGTTTCAAGCAATGATCTGTGTGGAACAATTCCTACATCAGGACCATTTGAGCACATTCCCCTAAGCAAGTAAGTTTGACTGCCTTTGTGATACTATTATGATTTCTTCAGCAGTATTAAAGTCATTATCATTTTATATTAAATTTCAAAACTAATGGTAGCCCAAAACAAATTCTGACACAAGTTTGTTAGTGTCGTAATCAATACTTCCATAAGGTAAATTAAACTAGGAATTTAATGTTGGTGGCCAATATGAGGATCCTATACTAAACATTTCATGCCCATAGCCCCATAAGTAAGGTTTCTTTCTGATCCCTGCCATTTCATCATCATTACATCGTATTTCCTTCTGTTTTTCATATTCATTTGTACGTATATTCAATGTTTCCTTGATAACAAGTTAACAAACAAAATACTTGTGAGGAATTATTTTTCACTCATTACTCATTAGTGTTTTGGGGAGGCCCTTCCCACTGTGGCAAATACTTTATTATTGTTCCATTATTCTGGTTGACTACTTTGTAGTAATATAGTGTATCATCCCTATCTTCTAGTTTTTTTTAGGATATGGCCTGTAATTTGAAAGGGCACACGTGAGATCTATCATTGTTTATTGGGTCTTTCTAGGAATAACTTTTAGCCAAATGCCCTTGTGTTGCAAGGGACTTGAAATAACATTACAAAATATAAAGTCAAAAAGATTTATACATTGCTTGGAAAAAAATATTTTCAATCAAACATCAATCCAGAAATAGCCTAGCCACATACCCAAGCAATCTGTTTATCTAGAGAATATACCATCTTACACATTTTGGAGGCTGGATTGAATTCCATTGTCGAAAAACATCTTGAACACACGCATTGGCAGACTCACCATCACCAACACAATATAGTAGAGAGAGGTATATCACAGTATGAAGCAGCTCACCTAGTGGCTCTGCGTTAAATTCGAGAGCGGTTTAATAGTTGATCCATCCAATGCGCTTGCTTTGCCTCCCCTTGTGCTTGCATGTTTCTAGGCAACCTTCTGAGTATTCTGTATTTCTCTATTGATAAAGACACATAGGTAGGATGTTTACAAGTCTGTCTTCTGATCTATATGAGCAAGTATATATAGTCTTAGTTTCTGTAGACTTCTGTCCTGCGTGGATGTTTTCTCCTTTTGCAGTGATGCATCTTGCTTGCATTCCATTTCCTGTTTCTCTTATATCTAGTTATTGCCCTCGGTGGCTTAATTAATGTTCAGTGTCGATGATTCCTGTTTTGGTTATAAGTATCAACAAGTTGACCTATGCCCATTATGCACATTCTGATTACGTGCAGCTTTGAGAAGAACCCACGCTTGGAAGGTCCAGAACTACAAGGCCTGGCTGTATATGACACCAACTGCTAGATGGAAACACGAAGAAAAGAATGGGTAGAAAGTAATGGGCGTAAAATGTTACCGAAAACCGGGTGATATAGATTATGTTAGGTTTGGACCTACCACTCTGTAATCCTCCATGCATAGCTCTTGTTTGTGCTGTTTGTCGGCAATGAAGTTGTATGTTGTAGCAGAATACTTTCTTTCTGTGAAAGTAAACATGGAACTGCTTATGTCATGAGTCAAATGTTATTGTTATCACGCTTCCCTGTGTTATATTGACCAAACTAAAGATGAAAGTTCTTGTCTGCTGATTATATCCTTTGCTAATGATGGCACATTTATGCAGCATTTCCCTTGCTGTCGCTGACTTGAATTGTTTCCATCATCCAGTGAACGAAACCTTCGATGTTTGGTTTCCGAGGAACGTTCTATTGCAATTTTCATTATAGAGAATGCTAAATTTCAGTCGTCTGAAGTTTTTTTTTTAAAAAAAAATCAGCCATTTTAACACATTACTAAAATTAAAAGTGGATTACTATGCAAAGTGTAATTTTTTATTTTACTGCTGCATTTGCTTAATTCACATGGTTTTACTTTCCTTTTTTTTTTTGTTGAAGTTTGATATATGTTTTATTTATTTATTATTTTTAAAAAGATCTTATCAATTGTAAATCTGAATTTTGTCTATGATAGAACAATTTATTGCTCAAACTTTGATTAAAAAAGGAATTCGTTTAAATAGAAAACAGGGGGAATAGTCAAAATTGTGATATCAATAATTTAAACCTAGATAATCTATAATTTTATTAATTGAAAGCTATTAGGTAACTTTGTTTTGGCATAAAAATGAGCGTAGCTTAACTGATTAGGTTTCGGTGGTGAAATTTGTTCACTCAAGACTTGACTTGGGTATTCGTATTTGCAACTAATTATTCTTTCAGTGATACATGACATACCCATCGACATTGGTGTCCTTGTGATTACTTCATGAATATAAAGATATAAGATATGCATGTCTAGTTATAATAGGTGTTCATAGGGGTAAAATGTACGCGCGTTTACATGATTGTTTACGTTTGTATTGTGTTTCACACACAATTTTTTTTTGGCATTTACCTAATCCAAAATTATTGATTATAATAAATAAATGGTAAATGTGAATTTTCTTAAGCTTCCTTTCCTTTTTTCTTACGCTAGAGTGTCCATCGTATCCATTTTTGAGTCGTTAAGAACACGTATATAAAAAGATTTGCATATAAATAATTTTTATTTGGTAATAAGTGATTTGAATAAGCATATGAATAAACAAAACAATGGGAGTTAATTATTTATCTACCGACACATATGTGCAAATTAAATTAGCTCAACCCATTACAACGCACAGACATATTTGATAGTAACATTTAATTCTATAAGAATAATATAAATACATAATTTACACATGTAGATGGGCTGGATTAAGATGCCTTTCGATTGCTTTAATGTTCGTGCTATAGTACGAAACGCCAGGCAAGTCTCCTCGTTCTTCTCGTCGCCGCTCTCCCGCTGGCTTTGCTCTTCAACTTCAACTACTTCGCCGCCTCGCAGAATCCCGGCGACGCGAACCCTATCAGCCCGTGAACAACCAACCGCCTCGAGAAGCCACATTTCGTCGAGGCGCGGGGGCGGCGCGCTGTTCGCCTTGCTGGGGGGATCGGGGCGGCTTCTCGGCTGCGGCGGTGGCGGTGCTTTCCCCTTCAACCTTCGCGGCTGCGCGCGGCGACCGGAGCGCGGGCGCGGCGCGCCTCGTCGCCCCCCGTTCGTGGCGCTGTTAGAGGTAATCGATCGCTCTTTATCTCTTGCTTCGGGATTTCATCGAATGCCTTGAGTTCGCCTCTCCCATCCAGTTTCTTGAACTCGTCGGCGTTCGTTCTCGCTTTTTTGTTGGCAGGTTAGGAGGATTCATTGGTGCGGCACTGCGGCATTACGACGAACGTCTCGAGCGCGCCTCGTCGCCCGGTTTGTGGCGCTGCTAAAGGTTATTGATCGCTTATCTCTTGCTGCGGAATTTCATGGAAAATCCTCGCGTTCGCCTCTCCCATCCAGTTTCTTGAACTCCTTTGTTCGTTCTCGCTTTTTTGTTGGCAGGTTAGGATTCTTTGGGGCATTTCGACGAACGTCTCGCTCGCGCCTCGTCGCCTGTTCGTGGCGCTGCTAAAGGTTATCGATCGCTTATCTCTTGCTTCGGAATTTCATCAAGAACCCTCGCGTTCACCTCTGGGATCCAGTTTCTTTATCTCCTATGTTCGTTGTCTTTTTCTTGGCAGGGCACGAGGATTCTGCAGTGCGACATTTCAGCGAACACCTTGCGCGCACCTCTGGCGCCTTCCAGGTTGGTGGCTTTGTCTTTCTACAGCATTTCGAACATCTTAGTCTTATGCTTGTAGTGGTATTTCTGCTTCAAACTTTTTGTTCCTGTAATGTGAACAACTTAGACTTCGCTGTGGCATTATTGCATGACACCTTGATCTTGTTGTTGTTGCAGCATTTCCCAAGGAGGCTTAAATCCTTATTATTATCTCTTCCCTTCCTGCGGACAAATTTATCTTGTGGCATTTATGCTACCTTGATCTCGCTATTGACATACAATATCCCACAAACACAAAACCTCAAATCCTAACTTATCACAAGATGATTCCTCAAAATGATTTGTTGTTTCCTCTATGTTCCCTTTTCCATGACATATTTAGAACCTACAATGTCTTGAGATATTTTATTAGCAGTGACTTCTTGCTCGGATCTTTCAAGTGTCAGGAACAATCTCGTTCTTGTTGTACAGTATTCCACAAACACAGAACCTCAAATTCTAACTTATCAACAAGATGATTCCTTAAAATGATTTGTTGTTTTCTCTGTGTTCCCTTTTGCATGAAATACTTACAACCTACAGTATCTTGAGATGTTTTATCAGCAGTGACTTCTTGCTGGGTATTTCAAGTGTTGACAATAATGGCGGTTCCTGTCAATACCAATAACCAAGAGGAGGAAGGTTGTAATCCTTCCTCAGGCAATGAGCTTGAACAATTAGAATCAGATTTTTGTGATGAAGCCAATAACATTGAGCTCGCTAAGGCCTTTTGGTATAACAAGAGTGAATTGGAGCAATCAGCAATTCTATCGGTTGAGATTGAGGAATTGGAGATGACTTATTATAGGGGCTGTATACCCCCTTTTGAGCTGCATCAAGTTCCTTTATTATCTGATGCCATCAGCTTCATACAAGACACAAAATCCTGGTTATATTGGGTTTGTCCCAATTGTGAGAGGATGTTTCTAGATTCTGAAGGCTTCTTGTTGCATCTCGAGAATGAACATCTACCACAACTGCCTAGATCTGAGCCAATTATACCTAGGAGAATATCTGACAATGATGTAAGGGGATTAAAAACCTTTAGTTGGCTTCCAGGCAACATGTATATGAGAGGAGGAGTGGATGACACTAATTTTGAAGATACCGAGATAAGGAAAACAATCATGCAGAAGATTCAGGAAGTGGTTTTCAAGCTCATAGATCTAAGGATCCTTTCTGCTGATCTTACAAATAAATTGACCACGTTTTCAAGACTTCGGGTGGGAAGAAGAGCCTATCTGTTGCCCGGTATGTTGAGCATTGCATTTCTAGGTGCAGAAGATCTTGAAATGATCTATAAATTGCTGCATCAGTTGTCGTTAGCCAATACATGGGAACTTGAGCAGAGTCCTGAGTTTGATGAAGATGGGAGTGATTCTTTTGATGCTGTTACTCTCGTTCAAGATACTAACACCCTCTGTCTGGATGTAAGAAAAATCATTTCTAGTACTGATGGTTCTATCATGGAAGATGATGTCTTCAAATGGCTATTCTATACACCCCTGCAAGAAGGGATGCTGTTATCATGGTTGAGCATGAAACAAAAACGTCTTCAACGTGGAGTTCAGATCATATTGCAGATTAAGACTTTCAGGGACACACTAATAGATGCATACAAGAGTAAGCTTGATGATGGAAAGATTTCAGAACAGGAACCTCCTAACTGTTTCCTTACTGAGGTCTCATTCTTAGTTTCTTACTTGACCCTTTCTTTTCCTCGAATTCTTGGATTGCAATTAATTTTTAATCTTTTGCCATTGAATTTGCAGACTGACTATATTGATGCTAAGATATTGAGGATTGATTCTGAAATTGAGTACATGAAGAAAATGTTGTCAGAAGTCTGTGCATTTGATTACCGTCCTGCCATCATGCCTATTTTGAAGGCCTACATACGGGTTGGTGTTACATTTCTAATTTTGCTTGAAGTCACATTGATTGTTTTCATCTCCTGATTTCTCATCACTTTTTGGCAGGATAAGTTGAGAAAGGCTTCCTCTTGTGGTGTCTTTGATCAAGATGATAGATATGCAGAATATAACAAGGTGATGCCAGTTAAATCTTGATTATACATGGACTAAATGTTCCAGTTCTATTATAGTATTATTCCATGTATTATGATGATCATAACAACATAAATTCCTTTGCAGAATTTGGACTCTGTCAATCAATTTCAGATGGACCAGCAAGCTGGGAGAAATCAGTAAGCATGCTTGATTTTCTCTTAAGTTGCTCCCTTTCCATACTTACATGTAGTAGGATTTTTCTCCTAACTGTGGTGACATGATTGTTATATTTAGCAACTCTGTGTCCTTTTCTTGTGGAACCACATTCATGTTTTTTATGTGTATTGATATACAAGATATAGCAGGCACCCCTTTTATTCTAAATGCTCTTATATAAAGCAGTTCATGTAATACATGTATGAAATTTGTGCAAAAGGTGGCTTGTAGGTGACCTCAACATGACCTATTTTCATATCCATGTGATATACCCAACATCTCTGCTATTCCTTTCTTACTGATCTGTTATACAAAATCTCTAGCGCCTTCAAGATGTAACTGCTTGGTACCACCAAAATCTTCAGAAGTTTCTTCGTAAGTAAAATAGAAAGGGCACTGGAGTATCTGTAGAATTTTCGTATAAAGCATCCTCCATTTGTTTGCTAAGATATCTTGACTACCCTGCTGTTGTCATTCGATCAAACCCAGTTCCTTCATCTACCCTAGACTTTTCTGTCACAAAGCTAATGCCTTAACTAACTTTTTGTGAAAAATCTATGATCGTGTTTAGTTCTATCCATAGATTGGTTTGGTCCTTTTAAATAGCATCTCATGTCATCTTTACCCTGCATATTTGAACTATTCCCTTATGATTCAGCTCCTTATTCTGTTGTGCTGTTAATTATCTCCTTGTGTTGCAGAAATTTTGTTGATGAAGGCAACAGTTCTAGGACCAAGGTCGAGAAAGCACGGTGCTTTGTTTCAGATCATCAAGCCTCTATTATAGAACAAACGGGAACATGCACAATATCAGGTGAGTTTCTCTAATCAGGTACCATTTGGCTTTATATGTCATTGATTTATATAATTCTGAAAGCCAAAAAACACGAGCTTGACAGTATCTTGTATCACAGAAATTATGACATTTAGTAATCTCATGCTCCTTTGTTTCGCCAGAGGAACCAAGCGCTCAGATTGACATCAGCTGCACCTACTGTGGAGAGATAGTTGAGGAAAATTCAACAATTGTGGAGAAAGAGGAGGAGATAGTTGAGGAAAATTCAACAAGTGTGGAGAAAGAGGAGTGGGAAGTGGTCATGGAGGCTATGAAGAGGTTGGTGGCATCTCTGCCTCCAGAGATGGTTCAGTTGCCAGGGACTATGTCAGAAGATCCAGCAAGCAAGATTGCCTTTCATATAATACGTGAGTTATCTTTTCGCCAGGCTATTAAAAGTGTGAATGGGCAAAGAATGGACACCAAGGCTGTGGATACTGGTCCAGGTGCTCTTGGAATTGCCAAGCCAGCATCAGACGAAAAGGTCAATGCAGCATCAGACAAAAAGGGCAATTCTGGAAGGCCCAAGAGGAGGATGCTTAAGAGCTTGATATGGGCTCTGCTCTCATCATTTGCTAGCCACCTGTCAATGCTACTGCTATCCAGATACTTGTTTGGAGGTGAAGAGGGAAAGGAATCAAAAGATTGCTGTCACATAACTAGAGAGAAGAAAAACAGAGAGTTCAAAAGGTGGCTTGTCATTAAAATAATTGCTCCGGTGATTTTGTGTGGCTATGTGCATCATTCGGTTCTGTGTTATCGATCCTGAGGACAGACAGGAAGCCTCGGTCTTCAGCAGAAATGGATTCATCAATTTGATAACGAATTCAATATCAAAGATTTCATTCTTTGGAATTAAGGATTTCCCAGCGACATCACAATATATTACGATATGTGCCCACGCAGTCTCTTTTGTTGCTGATCTCGTGAGTTCCTTATTTCTGTACTTTATGGGAGGATTTGCAGAGCTTGACCCAGCTGATGGATAAATTGTGTAAGTTCAATTCAACTAGCGATACTGAGTGTTTACTTTGCTCCACATAATCTTCCATGTGACCATTTTCATCGTTCTTTCAGTGACACAAGTCATGATCTGTGTGGAATCCAATGTCAAGCTCATTTGAGCGCATTCCTGAAAGTAAGTTTGACTACCTTTTTAACATATTATGATTCCTTTGCAGTTTTCAAAGCATACTCATTTTGCATTGAAGTTTGAGAACTAATGAAAGCTTGAGTTAATGAAATCTTACTTCCAGTTGTTGAATTTCTAAACCAATATTTACAAAAATTTACGTAATTATAATCACTCATAGTACTTTAAGTATGATCTATATCTTATACATTTGCATAAAATTTTTGAATAAACATGTGAGAAAAAAGTCAACGGCGTCATCTATTAAAAAACGGAGGTAGTATATTCTAGAATATATAAACTTGTAAGGTAGTTAAATATCTCGTGGAAAAAGTATAATTTTCAATCAAACATCTATCCACAAATAGGCTAGTCGCATATGCAAATCATGCGCGTTTTTTTCTTTTACAAACTCATCAGCACCTAGTTTCTTTTATACAGTAGCACTGCCTTTGCACTATTAATTCTGAAACATTATGTATTCATTCATTATGCATACAGTGGCGTTGCCTTTGCACTTAGTTCTGAATATTATGGTTTTTTTTTTTTTGAAAAGAGGTTCTGAATATTATGTATTCATTCATTATGCATAAAGGCACATGGATCGGGTATGATAGCAGAAAATGTCTTCCGATCTTCTTTCTGCTAGTATGAACAATGGTACCTCTCCATAACAGAACTACCGGAGAGTACATAGTAATAATTTTTGTAGTTTTCTGACGTGGATGTTTCTCTTTTTCATTGACACGTTGCTTTTCTGTCATTTTCCGTTTCTCTTGCATCTACTGGCTTCATGTTCTGTTTTTTTATCTCTATTTTGGGTATAACTGCTAACAAGTTGACCTGTAAAATTGTGGATCCATGTCATTATAATTTTGTCCATTTTAAAAAAATGTCATTACTATAAATTTGCCTTCTAATTATGTGCAGCTTTGAGAAGGGCCTGCGCATGGGAGCTCCAGAACTACAAAGCCTTAGTCAACATGAAGAGAAGAAAGGATGAGTAGAATGTAATGCCTGCAATGTCAACTGAAAACCTGGTGGTATACTTTCCACCCTGTAAACCTTGTATATAAGGCTCTTGCTTGTGCTTTTTGTCGGCAAGAATGTTGTATGCTGTAGCAGAATGCTGAAAAATAAACACGAAACTGCTTATACGCTTATTCTGAGATTAGAACAGAGCTGGAACGCCTGTAGCCTCTCTGAACCTGTTTGCTCCTAACAACCTAAAAGCATAATGAGATAGAATGGAATGTAAAGGTCAAACTTGGAGTACATTTCAAATTTCGTCCAAACAAGTTTTTTTTTCCTCAGAATAGCAAGAACAGCAGATCTTGCTGAATCTTGAACATGTCGTCGTGGAGATTTGGAAACTTGTACTAAGCACGTTAATTAACTGCCTCGTGCCTGACCGTGAGGTTGGCTATGTGCCTATGTAGGTACTCTCTCCATCCCAATATAAATAAATACTCCCTCCGTTTCGAAATGTTTTAACACCGTTGACTTTTTAGCACATGTTTGACCGTTCGTCTTATTCAAAAACTTTTGTGAGATATGTAAAATTATATGCCTACATAAAAATATATTTAACAATGAATCAAATGATAGGAAAAGAATTAATAATTACTTAAATTTTTTGAATAAGACGAACGGTCAAACATGTGATAAAAAGTCAACGGCATCAAACATATCGAAATGGAGGGAGTATAACCTAATACAAATGTGATAGTATATCCTAGGATAAATATAATCTTATGATATGTCATATATGTATTACGGAAAAACTACCTCACATGCGTTGGCAGCACGTGTTTTTGGGAGCAGTTTAGTTCAACTAACTAAATTAGTTTTAGATAATAATACTCCCTCCATCCCAAAATGTTTAACGCCGTTGACTTTTTAAAAAATGTTTGACCATTCGTCTTATTCAAAAAAATTAAGTAATTATTAATTCTTTTCCTATCATTTGATTCATTGTTAAATATACTTTTATGTATACATATAGTTTTACACATTTCACAAAAGTTTTTGAATAAGACGAACGGTCAAACATGTTTAAAAAAAGTCAACGGTGTCAAATATTTAGGGAAGGAGGGAGTAGTAATTTAGGTAAGATTTTTCTTTTTTTGAAGATTTTTTTTACTAACAGATTGAAAACTTTCAAGTTAGATTTTTCAAATCCGGCTTAAGATTTAGGGGAATTTAACTATTTGCCACTTTTACATTTGGCAATTAGTCAAATACCCTTCTTAGGTTTGCACTTACTATTTTGCCACCGGAGAGAGAAGTTTTTCTAACTATTTGCCACTTTTAACACTGTAGACCGCCACATGAGCATGCTAACATGAATTAGGTGCGTTAAATGACCAATCTACCCTACCATCATAACCCTAAAACGATCTCATCATTCTGATTGTAAATGTTAGCCTTTATAGTACTTATATAGGCCATCTTGGACCTTTATGCGCTATGTTTTCTTTAATAGACTATAAAAAAATACACTATGTGGCAGGACTTATGTGTAATATTTAACATCTTCCAGGACTCAGAAAAAAAAATTGCAGTTCAGAGTTTATAAATTAAGTCTAGAATAAAGCCAAGCAAGCATATCCGGTTCTCTACATCTTTTAATTCAAAACTAGAAATAATTAAAACAAAAAGTTCTATTGTATTAGCCCACTGAATATTCTAAATTCAAAATGTGCATTTGCTTATTGGTCAGTGTGAGCATTTGTCCTTCATATCACTGTAAGGTGTCAAAAATCATAATTGCTACTATCACATTTTATTTTAAGTTGAAAGGTGCTCAAAGATGTCATTTTTTTCTCATATCATGTAAATTAGAACGCGCTAAGATATAGTCTAGAGGGGGAGGGGGTGAATAGGCTTTCCTGAAAATTACAAACAAATTCGCAGCGGTAAAATTCAGCAGGTTCGGAACCTCCGGGTGTAGAACACTGGAAATTCCGATCTGCTCAGACTGTTCGGAACTTCCGGTGATCTTAATACTAGAACTTTCGGGCAACAGAAAAACCTGAAGATCTTAACAGTGACTTGAACTAAATTGCACGAAGTAAACTACTGGATGACAAAGCAGATACACAATCACAACAACATGCACAGAATCATCACAGAGAGGACAAAGGCGATTTTTTTCCCGAAGTTCGGATCTTGCAATCCTACTCTCCGTTGAGGTGCTCCAAGAAGCCATATCTCAATTAACCCCTTGCCTCACTTGTGCAAAGATCCCAGAAAAAGTCCAAGGCCTTCAACTCAACACTCCTAGGTCATTTTCTAGAATTTGAGCGATCACCAAGATCCAACTCTTAAATCCTTCTAGAAAAGACCACAAGTGCAAGTTGCTCTACCTAGGAGAACCTCTGAAAACTCAGCACAAGAATCTTTACTCACTTACCTTGTTTCCTTGCGGAGGTAAGGAAAACCTTCACAAACTTACCCGGGACATCCACAAGATCTTTGGAAGCTCGCGGGCGACACCTAACCATCTAGGAGAAGATCTCCAAGAGTAATAAACCCAAGTGACAGCCCACAAGATATCCAAAGTGCTCAAACAAACCTAATGTTCAAACATTCTCCAAATCACTCCTACACTCTCATCTATTCTCTCAATCTCCCAAGAATGGCTCTAGATTTGAGTGGAGGAAGCAAAGGGATCTTGGGAGAGGCTAGAAGAACCTAGGGCATGAAAGAACTGAAGTGAAAATGGCCAAAAGGTGAGCTGGGTGCGATCCGAATATATATAACGGCTAGGTGACGTCATCTAGCCGTTACTCACATTTTTGAACTGGAAGGGGCCCGGAACTTCCGGACAACACTTATGAAAATTTTCAACTCGTAAGGTCCGGAAGTTCCGGGTGCAGGGGCCAGAACTTCCGGCCAGCCTTCTCTGTCCGGGATGGAGCCATTTCCAAAAATAGCTCCTAAAAATATTCTACCATATGGATCTCACTAAGAGCACTTTTTATATCCCAGAACCACACTTGGAACCCCTCTTAATAGTACGGTTTTTCCTAAAACTCGATTTCAAATATTAAACTATCATATTGTCTTTCAAGCTTCAAATCTGCTTGAATGAATGTTGTAGGGGGTCTCCAAGCATCTCTCGATCACCTAAGTTCACCTTGGGAGTTGGGACTAATCACCTGAGTAACTCAATAAACTCATTAGTCCCTTAATCGTATTCATCATTACACCAAAACCCACTAGGGGGATAAATACAACTTCAATATTTTCTCCTCACTCTTTAATATGAATAGATTTGTGAAGGCAAGGGTATATTGGTCATTTCATGCGCCCAGTCCATGTTGGCATGCACATGTGGTGGTGTTAACGACCAAATTTGGTAGATCATAGATTGGATTTGAGGTTAAAGTCGAAGCGGATTTGAAAGAAGTTCATTTCTCGGAAACAGAGTGCGCATCAGCTACAGACAACGTTGGCTACTGTCTGCATCGTCTGATATTGAGTCGGACAAGGAGAAGCCAATGTAGCCAATTTCAGCAAGATGGTTCTAGAATCATTGTTGGGGTGCTGCACAAGTATTGCCACGCATGGATTGAGTCCAAAGAAGGCAATTGTATCTATTAATTAGGATATTCTAGTAGTTTTCTTAGAGATATTCCGGTAAGAGTCCGCCTGAGGGACTTGTTCGTATTTTGAGTTGTAATAGAGATAGAGTCGTGTCTGACAAGGACATATTATGTACTTTAGGTATAAATATGATCCAATACCTCAGAAGCAAATAACATCAGTTCAATAATACTTTCGGCGTATCGCCACCCTTTTATATTTTCATTGTTTCGACGAGTTCTTGCTTTCGAGTTGGGGTGCATCGGTTTCGATCTCCGACGAAAAAGGTAAAGCTTGTTATGGCGGCTTACGTTCTCGGGATTAGTGCTTACATCTCTATGACACTCTAATCTTGTTTATGTAAATCGTCGAGTTATCATATATGCTATATAATCTAGATCGATATCACTATCTAACCTCATCGGATAGCCTCTATCATCGAAAACAGTCGGTATAGATATTGACGTCGAGATAGATTATACAGTATATTTACTATCTTGAAAAAGGTATCATTAACTTGTTTAGATCTTATGTTTCTCTTCATGCTTAATGCTGCATCGTTTAAGTTTGATCTGTTAAGTAATGCTCTGAACTATAATATCTAGCTTGTCTTATGATTGCTAATAGAGATAGCATCGGAGTTTCCGCCGATCTTACCTGGTTTAGTTATCTTGTTCTTTATATGTTTACTTGATATACTAAATCTGCTCTTATATTAAGATCTCACTTAGATAAAATATATTAAGTCTACTATCAGTCGGTTAGGTTATCCTGATATTAGATTGATTCATGTTTAGTATATTTCATCTATATTGATATCTTAGTATAAAGTAGTATCTGAGTACGTACTAGCCGATACATGTTAGATCTGTCTTATCGGCTACGCTATGAATATATATAATCTTTGCTTCGAAGTACTTTTAGACATAAGTGATTTATACTGTCTCGGCATGCTGTCCGATCTATCCTAATCATTTGGTTTAAACATATTTCGATGAATAGATTGTATATTATTGATATCTACAGCCGATCAGGTAGATCTAACTATTTCTATGATTTATATTTCATTGTTGATCTAATGCATGTTACATCGGCTTAATATTGGACGATACGTCATCGGCAATCCAGCCGATCGGCTTTCGTTTATGGATTTAACTTTGCTTTTCTTTGGTTCTTGTTGGTTGCAGGATCAAACCAACTGGTACGCTTAGAACCCGAAAGCAATTCTTTGGACCTGCAATAGAGTAAAGCAAATCTCTCAGGCCAGTGTGTGTGTTTGCACCAACACGTGGTCTACAGTATCAAAAGTGGCAAATAGTTACAAAATCTTCTCTTTCCGGTGGCAAAATAGTAAGTGCAAACCTAAAAAGGGTATTTGGCTAATTGCCAACCGTAAAAGTGACAAATAGTTAAATTCCCCTAAGATTTAAACTTTGAAGTTAAATTTTGAAAACTTTCAACTCAAACATTGAAAATTTTCAACTCAAAATTTAAATTTATAAGACAAATTTTGAAAACTTTCAACTCAGATTTACAAACTTTCAACTCGAGATTTGAAAACTTTTAACTTGAGATTGAAAACTTTCAAGTCAATATTTAAAAACTTTCAATTCAAAGATATGAAAACACATGTCTGAAGATTTAAAAAATATAGAAAAGCGAAAAAAATTGCGAAAAGAAGAGCTGGCGCGGGGGAGGGAGTGTGAGCTAGTGCGCGCCAATTAGCCATTCCCATCCGTATT